TAGCGCCCAGCGCTGAAGACTACTGCTAACGCTACTACTACTACTACTGCAGCGCTCCTCCAGAGTGCTGCTGCCGAATCCTGAAGACTACCTCCTGCCTCCTGAACTGCACGTGAAGTGCCTGGGAAGTCCCTATGAACTACCTGCAGCCTGCAGGGAGGGCCAGTCCTATATATTGCTGGCCCATCCAGGAGGCTGCTCTTGTCAATGCCAAAACGTGCCAGACCCTGGCGTTGAGCTCAACCAAAGGTTGTCTTGAAAACAGGCCCAAAATGGCCTGTGCTAAAACCCTGGTCTGGTCCCTAAGTTTCAGGGCAGGTCGATCTTATGAGGGCCCGAAAATGGCCCTCCGTTTCAGGCTGAAAAGACTCAGCGCCTGGAGGGCCCTGTTTTAGGCTGAAACGACACAGGGCCTGTAGGCCCTTGTTTTCAGGCTTTCAGGGTGAAACGACACAGGGCCTGTAGGCCCTTGTTTGCAGGCTTTCAGGCTGAAATCGACACGGGCCTGAAAATGGACCGTGCAGCCTGTTGCAGGCGCAGCATGTAACAGGGAGAAGACCAAGATCGTGAAGTCCAAAAATAGTCTCCCTGCCGAATGGGCAATCAATGTCTGCCACAAAAATGTTGAATCAGATCCTGGGCTTCATGCCCAATGTAACATCTGCTTGTAACCTCTCTCTCTGAAGAAGAAGAAGAAGAAGAAGAAGAAGAAGAAGAAGAAGAAGAAGAAGAAGAAGAAGAAGAAGAGAATAAGGAGGAGGAAGGAGGAAGAAGAGATGGAGGGCGAGACGAAGAAGGAGAAGATGTCGTCCTCCTCACTGTCTCACCTGCACGTAGCTGCCACCATGTACTAACCGCCGTCAGTGTACCTGTGCAGGTCGCTGGCGTAAAGCACAGCTATGGCGCCTAGGTAAGCTCCGCCGCTGCAGATATGGCCTCCGCCTCACCTCCTACCTACGCCTCTACCTCTAGCGCAGCGCTGTGTCGAGATGCTCCAGCAGCGTGACGCCCAAGAAGTGAGCTACTCGAACTGTGTGTCTGCCCAGGCCTGGCCGAGCTATATGTAGCACTGGGCCTTGCCGGTGTGCCTCTGGTCCTGGCCTGAAACGGCCTACTCGGTCTGGGTCCCGACTGGACGTGCAGACCCTCCCTGCTGATGCAGCAGGGACGTCTGCTACTGGGCGAACACAAACCTGGCCCACAAGGGCCTGCCTGCGAACATAGAAGGCCAAAAACGTGGCCTTTGTCTGAACAGACTGAAAGTCTGTTCGGACCAACTGCAAGTTGGAAACGACGCCAGAACAGACGAAAATAGGACAGCAAATAAATAAAGAAATAATAAGTAAATGAATGCTGCCTCGAATTGAATCCTGTGGCCCTAAGGCCGCCCGTGGGCGTCCGGGGCGCATGTCCGAAGGGTGTGCGGCAGGGGGCCCCCCAGCAACCGTCAGGCCCCCGAAACGGGCCCGTGCGCAGGCTCAGCATGTAACAGCAGGTCTGTGTCAGAGGAGAGCTGCAGAACACTCCCAGAGAGGATGAGGACGTTGGTGCCACCTTGTTGAAGCTCACAGCGATTGATCGCCTCCCAAAGTTGCTGTTTCAGCCAGCCAATACCGTCCTTTATTCTTCTGTTGCTTCCTGTCCGCTCCCCTCCCCGCTGCTCGGTGTTGCCTCTTTTGGTATCTGCCGAGTCTTTGCTACGGACTTCCTAAGCCCGGACCCCAACCGACTCCCACAGCCTCAGCTGCAGGTCTGTGTCTGTGTGAGACTACAGAAAACGTCCTTGCTTCTGCTGTAGCTGCTTGACCACACACGGCTGCACGTTTTTTGTTGTGTTCAACGATGTTGGCTGAGGAGGATCGTAGAACTGAGGCATTTCAAAGCTTCAGCGTCCGTGTCTAAGAGCAGAACGAGAGTAACCCTCACGGGAGGCTGACATCTCGAACGTCCTCCTGCTGTCATTGTTACCTCGTCCCGCTCGATGCCCACTTTCTCGAGTCTTTGGTGTCACTAAGAGTCATGCAGTCGGCCAAGTCGGACAGTGGTACACAGTTCTGTCGCCTGTCCTGGGTCCAAACTGCCTGATCGACCTGTTCCCAGACCACCTCCTACAGATCTCCTCCTTCTCACAGCCGATGCGCTGGATGTGGTGCTTGGGCTGTGGTGAGGTTCCACTTCGCCAGATAGTTCAAACCTACCCTGCCTTCTTCCCCCGAACATAACGCATATGCGTTGTGTTCGAATACAACGCGTAGGGTACCGTCTATTCGAATACAACGCACATGCGTTCTATTCGAATAGCCTTAAATTTCGAATATACAACGCATATGCGTTCTATTCGATTTTTTTTGTTTCTAAATTTTGAAACTCGAATACAACTCATATACGTTCTTTTTTTTTTATTTTTTATATATAAAACAGAGCCCTAGGGCTCTGGCTCCTTTTCCATTCTGGGGAGCATCAGTCCGGTTCCTATTCCACCGGCAAGTCAGGGAGAGATACAAACATCACTCACTCACACTCCTCCCCCTTATGGTGGGAAGGCCTGAAGGACGGCATTGATTACTTCCGAACGGAAGGATGTACCACCCTTCACCCCTGCCTGAGTTAGCCTGATCTATTTATATCTATCCCTGTTGGCTAATCTGTCCTTGCTCGCTAACATGCCCTTCCTTTAATTTGGGACTCGTAGCTTGTCCACCTGCAAACTCATATGTGTTCTATTCGATTTTTTTTTCAAATTTTGAAACTCTAATACAACACATATGCGTTATGTTCGGGGGAAGAAGGTAGTGCTTTGCGTCACCCAACTGTCCACTGCTGATGTCCCCTGTTGGCATGTTGGTTGCGGCTTTCGGTCTTTTGCTGCTGCCTCGCTTTCTAGTAAGCTTTCGTATGGATGCCCTGTCTGCGGATAGCCGTCTCCAGGAACGTCCACAGATTTGCTGTTTTTTTTTTTTTTTGTTCTTTTCGTCTTCTTTTTGCCGGGATCTTTAGAGGCATGGTGGCGTAGATCTGTTCGTTCGCACACGGCCTTGCTCCACTGCACAACCTTCGAAATGTACATCGAAGCAGTGATTCCAAAACATAGAGATAAACAATGAACTTTAATCAGTCCGAATGTATCTTGTTTAGACAACAGTCCAGATACGTGTCGAATGTCGAGGTCCATAGTCAACCCCTGAATGGATAATAGGATATGCACAATCACTGTATGGTACTCTCAGTGAGATGTATCTGGTCATAAAGTGAACAGATCATCAGTTTGCAATCCTTTTTTTTTTTAATTATCAGTTGGCAATCCTGATGGACAGGAGAGGAGGGCGGGCGTGCGGGGGTGGGGTGAGGCCGAGGGAAGACGGCGCACGGCAACAATGACCAGGCGTTCTATTCGGGGGAAGGAAGTAGGCAGCGCAGAGGAACTGATTGGACAGTGGTATGGGCAATCTTGCTCTTTTATCTGCATTGTGCAATATCGATAGTAGATATAGATGGCTATGTTGTTGTTCCCTATAGTCTACAAAGATCTGATTGTTATTGGGTTTGTAACTACGTATTATGTAACATGGTTCAACCGCTTAAGTCTTGATGACACCTAACTGTGTGTTCATTTCTTGTGGTTTTTATGCGGTCATCTTTGTCCTCTTCAACCGCTTAAGTCTTGATGACACCTAACTGTGTGTTCATTTCTTGTGGTTTTTATGCGGTCATCTTTGTCCTTCCTTGCTTCCTTGGTTGCTTGTTTCTGTGTGTGTGTTTGTGTGTGTGTGTGTGTGTGTGTGTGTGTGTGTGTGTGTGTGTG